CAGAAGACCGTTGAGTGAAATTACATGTCACGTCCTCAAATGGAATTACAACTAGGAAGGACGATTTAGGTGTCTCTGACGCGGACATGGTGGAGATGGTGTGTTGTGATTTGAAGGAGATGAGAGCTTGCTGGTAGTCTTAGAGCCGTATGAAGTCTATTAAAGCAAAGTGGAAATGTGTCTCTGTTGAAGCCCTGTAACTCACCCAGTAGTCAAACGGAATACTGCTGATAGTATAACTAATCAAAATGATAACAAAAATTAACGGATAAACCCAGGTTTAGCTGGGCTATAAAGGAAGCTCAAGTAAGTGTTTTTTCACCTCCTTTGTGAAATTAACTCTGGCACATATATGTCAAACCTGTACATCTCACCATGGAGTTATGCTAATTCCTTATAATGTTATCTACTCAAGGAATTGGACATATAGCGGAAGAATATCCTGCGGGTCAAATGGCAATAATAATAAGGCGATTCTGATGAACTCATAAGTCTATTGCTTAGTCGGTAGGGAAACTCTGGCGAAATATCAGTACGGACAGGATAGTGGGCTGATAACATTTTTACTTAAACTGTTTTTGAGTGTGTCATAAAACTGTTGATATTTGATTACAAACATGTGGTTACATCCGGTCCATTCGGATTTATATATCCTCCCGAACACTTACACAACACAAGATTTTCCTTCCCTTATGTGCCTCATGATTGCAAGTGATCCACCGTGTTCAATCATTCATCTCATTGCGTAACTCTATCGCCCTTATTCAGCTGCTCATATATACGTGTTAATATTGGCTAGTGTGGTTGTGATTGTAAAGGAATAATCATTCAGAAAATACCTCGTGAATGGTCTAAATACAATATCGAGACTTATTCGGATACTTCGAATAACTCTGTAATCAATATCTCCTTGTTCTCCTACATTGTATATCATTCATCTGACATTCGTGCATCCTCATATGTCGACTTAATCCTTAGTATTACTTCTTCTGCATGTTAAATCTCTCATTGTATTGCTTCTCTTTGTGGTTGATTTCGTGATGATATTGATATAATGTGTTGTTTGGAGACTGCCACTTTGGTTTCCCAGGAGGAATATGTTGGTGTGTGTGATTGTTGTGAATAGCGGTTTTATTCCTGCTTGTTGGGAATATTCTACTTGACTTTCACTTATCTTCACTCTACAGAACTTGTTTTGTACCTGAAATTCATCATTTAAGTATTGGTGTCTAAGGTCAGTGTTGAGGTGATTTTGACTATTAGATCAATTATGATTGTTGAAGAGAATCACAAATATTACTGCGAACAAAGCTCTCTACGTTGATTTTGGAGAAGTTTGTGATTCACTGTGAATAATTCTTGAAGTTTCATGAAGAAATGCCGTAAAAGATAAAGATCAACTTGGTGCATTCAGAGAGCAACACGAAGTTGGTGTTGGTCGTAAAAATACGGATTTGTCTCTGTTTTACTCTCCATTTTTCTAATAGAAGCAAATTCTATAGGAATGCAATTGCTTGTGGAGTGGAATAGAAGAAGGTGAATTCACCAGCACTCGAGGGTTTTCAGTGATCACTGGTTGTTTCAATGAGAATTCATCTCTTTGATACTATCCCTTTCCACAGGAGGAGCAAATAGTACATAAGTGTGATTTATTGTACAGCAAAAGAAGAGAAAATGATTTCCCCGAAAAGAGAGACATCTCACGTAACACTACTTGTCACGTATTTTTACATTTCAACAAACCCTGTGGAAAGGTTTTTCTCATTAGCAACTCAGGTTCTATTACCAAAATCTGGTTTTACTAAGCACCGATTAATAAACATAGTACACAAATATGAAACTGAACTAGTCTGGTGTAGTCAGAAAATAAAATATTTTCTCTTCTCCATTTATGATTATTTTGTAATTTGTATTTTGTATGAACAAATTCTTCACCATTTATTATAATAAGAGTTTTCTTGTATTTCCCAATGAATGAAAAACAAAACGATATTATTGTTTTACTGACGTTTCACTATTAAGCGCTACTAATAGCTTTATCAAAGTATAACTAAACCAGAATTTACAAAATCCACTCAGCTTATATTTAACAACTTAATCATAGTTCCTCAGTATGGGGTCACTTTTGCGTTGTCAACTTGGTAAAGATAAGAAAATCAGGTGTAGGTTGTTGGATTTGATAAGTGTATAAAATCATAAAAAGCAGAGTGTGTTTACATAATGAAATTGATTATTACATTCGTGTTGATTTCGGAGAGCGGGTTTTGGTAACCAGATCTAATTCCGTTTCAGTCCATCATTCCCATTCAGACAATTAGGATTGCAGTTGATATGAAGTTCTTCTGGTGATGCGAGACGTTCTTCGTGATTTCTGAAATGCTTTTTCTGGATTATTTCAGTATTGTCGAAATCAGTTTTGTGGCCTGAATTTAGAGCGTGAAGACCTATGGCTGATGATTTTTCAAGCTTTTCTAGTTACACCGGATTTCTCTCTCAGTGGTGGAACAGATGCTCTATGGTGTTCATTTCTTCTCATTTTGATTTCTGGAGATGTTTGTCCGATGTATATCGCATCACATTCTAAGCATTTTATTTTATAGACACAATTAGATAAAAAATCTTTAGGGAACTGGTCTATCATATATAAGCTGAGATTTTGTAAATTCTGATTTAATAATACTTTGATAAATCTATAAGTAGCGCTTAATAGCGAAACGTCAGTAAAAGCAACAATATCGTTTTGTTTTTCATTCATTGGGAAATACAAGAAAACCTTTTAATATTGAATATCATATACACAATGCCCAAATTTTTTCAAACACTTTAAAGTGAACTTGGTTTTAACGTATATAAATTCTTCACTAAATTGAAGTGTGAGACGTCGATATACAGGTTCTACAGATGGAAGACATTTCTATTCTAGGAGACAGATAGAAACTAGTTAGTCGTCTGTAATGTACACAGTTCGAGGTGTGAAATCCTCACACCAGTTTCCTTTCGAAGTGACCAGATGTGAGTTGTTGTCCTTAAGGTGTCTCCAGACCAATTGACTATTGAAGAACACCACTCTCTGTATTACTGCGAAGAATGTTCTTATCAGAGATGATGAAATTCTTCTCTTGTGCAAATCACTTGTTAATTCTTCACCCCCAAGCTTGATATCCAGGTCCATGTAAAGTTTCTTTAATTTGGAATAAGAAGTGTTTCATTTCTCTGAACCTTTAGTTTGGTCTTCTTGTCAACGAATCTTGAGTGATATTCATTTTGAATACAGACATTTTCCTAGGATAGAAATGTCTTCCAACTGTAGAGCCTGTCTATCGACGTCTTACACTTCAATTTAAGAGGTAAAATTTCTTTCCTTTGGACATTCAGTTTGATATTCTCCTTGGTGGGTATCTATTTTAGACAAGAACTTCCGTCAGAATATTTAGATGTGGGTGTAGACCATGAGGAGAATAGATGCATCGGTTGTGGTTGGAAAGCCAAGGTACGTCGAAGTAATCTACAAAGTGAGCAGCAACCTGACATATACAGTAAATTCACCTTCGTCTACTCTGCATTCGTGATGATGGTACAGCCAGCTGGATAGAGAAACCAAAGCTGTGCCTAGGAAATGAAATTGCTCAACTAATTCTTCTATTATTATGGTACTTAGTTGGCTGTTTTCTGTGAAACCTGTTTTCCTTAGTTTTATCACGCATGTTTGCCTTCAGAACCACGGCGTAATTCTATATTTATCTTCGTTTCTATGTACATCGTGACTACAACTCATCAATTCGTCAAACTGTCCATCTCACTACATAACTCTAATTCCTATTTTCAACTGCTCTTATGCGTTGATTAAAACTGACAACTATGATTGTGATGGAAACGCTTCATTTTTGTGACTACCATATTTCGTGAAAAATAAATATAAATGCAATTCTTAAGATTTTAATTGTAGAAATTTGTTTTGCTCTGCATGATTGACAGCGGAGTGACATCACTCAGAGGAGCATTGAAAACTTAGGATCATTCTACATCTGCTTTGTCCTTATTTGGTACTCAACGGTGGTTGAATCCACGACCATTCCGTGAAACGACGAGCTGGTATATCATTCAGTCCCTGGAATCCGACTCGATAGCCACTCCATGAATTCTGACTTCAACACACTCGTGATTTTGGCGCGACCAGCAACCAACGTCGTATGTGGCGTCTATTTGTGCTCACCCTATAGACTGAATCCTGCAAAAGTAGTTCGAGGACGAAGCTGCCTGGAGTTCTAGTCAAAGGTCATGACCAGCAAAGTCCACCATGTGGTTGGGAGTGAAGACAAATACTGACTGTGGATGACATTATCTGGTTCCAGTCAATCTGAAATGACAATTTCTTAGGAGCTAGCATTTATGAGACATCTGAGTCGAGACTCACTGACTGAATGCAATATGAGCTTGCCTTGTAGTCACTATGTCCACAATATCAGAAAACTCTAGTAGATGAGTAGTAACGATGAGTCCCAATTTGAGACGAAATAGCTGTCTAATACACTTTGACTGCTATCCAACGCTTCTCTAACTCATATCAGTCTATGGCCAAACATGAATTAAATGAGATTGCACAGCTAGAGAGGAGAGAATGAATTGGCAGTGAAGAGGTGCTCTCCACTGAACACTGCTTGTTTCATGTTTTCACATTTTACTTGAACATGTATATTCATATGACATAAGAAATTGAGTTATCGTCATCAAAACAAAGCATGATAAAATGTGACTGAACACGTTTTGTATCAGGCGTGCAGTCTGCAAACGACAAATTTACTCTTTTCTTTTCAGTTTTGTTTTTGTGCTTTCTTAAACTTGAAATTTGTATGACCACTTTTTATTGACTAAATTGAAGTTTGAGAGGTAAAAGCATGTACTACAGATACCAAACATGTACACTGCATGAGATGGATACAAACGTGTCCACTTATAAATGACGTATTGAACAACAAATTGGAGGGATGCAATCCATGTGCATATATATATATGTACAGATATTCTCATTCACTCACACAACTTCAGATTGTGCAAATCCTCTTGGAGAGTATTCTGATGTTTTGCAAACTCTACATAATTTCGATTTCTCTCTATGCGTTTATGTCAGTTTGTGCAGTTGAAAACGCTGATATTGCAAACTTTAAACACACCTCCGTTCCTTTAAATGGTCCATCTGATAATCATGAAGTTGTTGCACCCATAATAAAAGACACTGGTGATTTGTCAGGAGAAGAAGATAAAGAATTTGCCGATAAATTGGGTAAAATAATAGATGGTGCTCTTGAAAAAGAAAATGCAAAATTGAAAGAAGCCTTCCAACAAACATTAAGTGAATTGAAAGAGGAACAGGAGAAATCAACGAATTATGCCAGTGATTACGGTATTGATTTAGTTTTACAGGGGATTTCCGTTGTCATTGTGACACTGACATGCTTCAGTGGTATGTTTCAATAAGTGATTAACTTGTCGAAAATGTTTTTGTTTATCTACTTGTGTATAAAAATGTTTATTTGAGTCTTTGTCTTCTATGTCTACTGACGTATGCGTCTCAAATGTGTAGATATACTCGAAGGGTATTGACGGTTATTCGAATGTAGAGTAGCGTGTCACTTCACTAGATCGTTTCCATCGTACTCAACACAAACCTGAACTCATGCGCGAAATCCGGTAGATCCATGATGTCTGGCTGTCATCAACGTCTCCAATCACAACTCTGCCACTCAGCTTGAATATCTCATCAGATAGAACTAGAGGTCATTATGAAAGATTATTCGCTTGTTCACCCGACTAATTAGGAAAACTCAAGGACACCGCATGTGGCCGCTCGCCAGAGTTCAATGTGATAGAGACAGTATTAGGCTTAATTATTAGGAATAAATGGCTTCTCTGATAACATTATTGGAATCGTCTTATGATTTAAGCTATTAATATTATTATTGTTACACCCCTCTTACACTTTTTGTACAATTTCGACTTCGCTATTACTGCTAAGGCCGAAGATATTGGCGTTATCAGTTTCCGTTATGTATACACTGTAATGTTTTTGCTGTTTTTGTAGATGTTGAGTGAGTTAGGTGGAATATCTTAGCAAATGCCGAGAATCGTATGCTGCGTCATAAGTGCTGTCTCAGAATTAAGCAAATTGTTATGTTTATTATTATTATTGTCATTATAGTCCCTATCATTACCATTATTATTAGTAATTTTATTTTAACGGCTTCCTACATCAGGTTTTAATATTTTATTTCAGTTTAATTATGATTAAATTTCAAAGCTACTCTTGCATGCCTCACTGTCTATCTTAGATTCCTCATGGTACTATTTAGCTTTCCTGCCCTATTACTTCAGTATTTCACCAATCCTATTCCTACTGAAACATGGTGGGATTATTCGAAATCTAAATATCAGTTTAAATGTGTTTGTTTCCTGTGAACACACTAGTGTCTTCTTTCCTTATTTCATGCTACAGTCTAACATTGGTAGCTCCCTTTCTTTAATTTCTAATTCATTAGTGAATTGAATTGTCTTGACCGTCGATTTGATGTGTTCGAAAAATCTATTCATGTCCTGTGTTTTGAGCATGGCGAATGTGTCACCTACATACCTCCATCACAGTCTGTAGGTGAGTGGGGCTGAGCGTTTCGATCGCTGAATTTTCTCACGTGTTCATGAATATTTCTGGCACTTGTTGTGTATATTGATAACAACATGGCGACTCCTTCAGTTTGTTTATATAATGTCCCATGGAATTTAAATAGTTTGGATGTCAGGCATAGCTGCAGTCCTGCCATTATATCTTCTAGTTGAACTGTTTGTTCAATTTCAGCTTCTTGATCAGAAATGAGTTCGTTGCTTACCGACTCTATATAGCTCTATTTATCGGTATTCATGTCGAAAGTAACCATTTCTTCACTGTTCGATTGTCTGATAAACAAACTAATATGGAATTATATAATACCACACGGCTCACATTTTAAACAAACATAAATCCAACCAACATTTCCAACTTAATCAAAAATATCCTAACACATGTCGAGAGATGGCGGTGGTGCACACCATGAAGTGAGTAAGGAACTGGTGAAATTTGCATACTAATAAGGACTTTCTAGCACTTGTGACCTTACACAAGGGAACTTGGATTTTCACTTCTAAATAAGGCGACAAATCCTTGTACAACCGGTTTGCTTTATTAGTTTGAACATATTTGCATATTTGCAGGTAAATAAGAGGTTGTTAATGAAAGTGTAGAACTTGTACACTGTGGTGGTATATAATTGCATATTCCAGCTCATATGGAATTCGAGACTGTTTTATCGCCTAGATTGACGGGTTGACTGTGGTTTTACCTATGCGTCCCACTCATGAGCCAGTATATATTCATGACATATGTTGGACAGACTCGAACGAAGTCGTAAATAGAGCAACACTACTCATTATTACAGCCTGTATGCTTACAACAAGTTTGTATTTTTCAAGAATATGGATCTCGCGTCCATGATTTTTGTAAAAATCGGTGTGGCTCCTCTCTATATTGCACTCACAATGGATAGTGAATGTGATAATCAATTCCAGTTGTTTGATCTCATTAGAAAAATGAAAATTTGAAGTACAATCGAAGATTTCATGTCTAGGAAAGAAACGTGAACTGGTGAATACTTAATTTATCACAGGTTTTGCCCGGTCAGGTACGAACATAGTCTGTTCGAAACACCCTTCAGCAGAGCTGAAGCCTTTATTGAATGGGAATTCTCAGATATCGAAAAGAATCTTATTGAGAATGGATACACTAGAAAGTTCCTATTAAATTATAGAGGTGGCGAGTGCATCCCTGAAATAGTTGAATAGGAACCATGTTTTACGTCTCTAGCTTTCAAAGGGAATAAGCATCCACAATAACGGAGAAAAGATTCAAGTGTGCATTGGAAAGAAGATTTCTCACCGCCAGACTTATTCCTACTCACAACACAGCATATTCGGTAACTTGGTAAAATGGAGATATGTATCCTGCTCCACATGTCAGCGTCAACTGCATTCACCAGTTCACTTGCATTAATGGCAACAAGTACATAGAAAGGTTTGAGAGTAGGCCGTTTGTTAAATTTTGTCAGCATGTGTCTAAAAGCCTCCATAAGAAAAGGTAGCAGAGTATTTTCAAGTGTAATTATCAGACACAGGGCAAACAGCAGAAAGTAGTCGGACTTTAAAAACAACCAACATACAAAGAACACCACGGTAACTTCAGTTTGCAGAAGCCATTGTCTAATTACCATGTAAATAGTTACTTCTCTGACACTAAATAGTTCGTCTACTTACATCATTTTTGGAGTTATATCGCGCTTATACTTTCTATCTATAAATTTAAGGCACTGTGAATAAAGTATGTTTAGAACTTAAGAAGTTCACAATTCGGATATGTTTAGGATTTGCGCTATTGATTGGAATCCATGATATGAAACGAGCTTGTATTATCCTGGCTGCAGAAGTGTTTATTCTCTCTCTGTTCAAACTAGAATAACTTCTGTGTTCCGAAGTCATGTTGACAACATTAGGGAATAGTTACAGCATTCAAACCACTTAGAACTAACTATTCAGATTGCCCATTGTTCACATTATCTGCTTTGGAAGTTTCAACCGAGATTTGGATTTTGACTTATGTACGGGAAATGGGTTTTGACTGGTAGGACTGAAGAATCCATACCTGTAGGGGGATAATCAGTCTTCAGATGTTTTGTCGGGCTGTTGACGGTTACGCACTCAGATGAAATTACTGTGTTATATTAAGAAGTCTGTAAGCGTGATAATTTGTATATTGTGGTTACTTTTTAGATTTAGTGTATTTGAAAAATTCAGTGACAGCTACAGCTACTGAGATGGAGAATGGTCTCGTTTCATCCGTCCAGTGGTACTAGCACTGCAGAGATATTACGTCTTGGAGGATGGAGAGATTTACTTGAGTATATGAAGGAGAAGGTGTTATTGTGCTTGTAGATGAAGCAGTCTTAATAAAGAGGAAATGTAGTCATGGTTATGAAAAAGCAAATAATGTTTAGAGAAAAAACAATCTTCAAATTACCTATCTATCTTCTGATATTTCCTGGTTCACTACTGTATATACTATGCAGAAATGCAACCATTGATCTTCTGACAGCACCATTAGCTTCATGATCCGTGGGTTCATAGTTGTTGAAGCCGGCATATTTACGCTTTCTAATCCCTTGCTGTGGATTTTAAGTGAGCTGCTTGATTGAACCTCTACTGGTGAAGAGTTACAGGTTTTGTTGTTGGTAGCGATTGCCAGCTGCTATTATGCTTCCTTTTAATCTACCTACTCGACAGAAATCGTTGGTAATTCCGTCTGCACTAGTTTTGGTTTCCAGTCCAGCTTCTCTGAACGAGTATTATTTGAAACACATGTTTCCCCGTTTTTTAGGCTCATGGATCGACAAGACAGTTTGGAGAGGGACATTAGGGTGAGTGGGGAGAATGAATTGCTCAATGTTCATGAGAAGATGCCTGAGGTTACGAATTTTAATATTTATGATTATGCCTTTTCGAGGAAGGAACCAGGTAAAAAATATAGATGTGTTAAGTTGCTTCAATTCAGGATACGGTTATTTGACTGTAACCCTGCTGATTACTCAAGGTTTCTGAAGGTAATGGAAGTGATTTTCTTGTCCGTGTTTGAAACTGTTAAGAGTAGTGGTAGGTAACTGAGAGATGACTGCTACTCAGTTTGCGGATTACTTGATGACTCCCAAAAATAGTTTAGTTTAGTACTGTTACGGAGATTATTGCTAGGTAGACTACTGGTGTGTTACGAAGAAAGTGGGTCAAGATCAGCTCCCGCACAGAGAAATACCCAATGATGGTGTTTGATGGTATTTTGAGGCTCTTGAAAGAAGGGCAGTTTTGCCTCTCACTGCTGAAAGTAAAAATTCAGTCAGTAAGGCAACAGATATTTATTAAAATTTTTGATCTTTGGTTATAATATACATAGACTTAGTGAGTGTGTTAGTGACCTGAAAATGTCTTCATCAAAAAGATTACAAGCTTAGAGATGGAAACGATTGTTTTAGATCATTGGAAGGACAAACAAAATGGATCGGTAAAGTAGTGGTTTGGTGAGATTGCACCCAATATTGATGATGGCAAATGATAATGTGAATTCAGTTAACGTGGTAGCGTCTTTCAGCCTTATGATGTTCAGAAGGTCTGCTTAGGTGTGCTGTCGGTCGGGGAGTAAGAGGACCGAAATCATTTGTTGACGCATACGTATTACTAGATACTGTACCAGACATTACGTTGGTAGTTGCTGGACTGGCCGACTGGTTAGGTATCAAGGGTGTGAAAGAGTCCTTAGTGTTGAATACGTTCAACTGTTCTAATACGTTAACGCGTGAACGGATGTCATTTTGGTTTGAATCCCTGATGCCTGAAGAAGACATTCGAAAGGTAACTGCTTATGCTACTTTCATTAAGATTCTTGGTTAAGCCATAATACCTAATAGCCATA